CCTTGTACTCCTCTCTCTTCCTAATCCAACTCTCTTTCCTCTCGACATTTTTCCTACTCTCCTAGCTAAACCCCGCCGCCACAACCATGGCGGCCTCCTTTCACTTCCTCCTAGCCTAGTACTACTTTAACACACCTAACCTACCAAGCCTACACAACTATATACTAAAAATAATATATATAAGTTGACATCTGATGCCCTAGATCCTGTATCATACTTGACACCTCTCCTGTAGAGCTCCTATGCAGCTTCATTCCCATCGCCCACATCCCCCCACATGTGTTGCAACAGCCTCTGCACACGGGGGGAAGGAGCCAGCCGAGGGGAAGGCATCTTAGGCGGCACGGGGGTTCGGATCCCAAGCTGATGCTCGTTGGAACCAGGCGTGAGGTTTGGGATCGCAAGCTGAGGCTCCCCATGTTCTTCGCTTACTCCTGAAATCTCTATTCCTGGAGTGTGAGTTCTACTCCTGCTTCCGCCTCTTCTCTCTTCCGAGCCGCGTGGTGCTGCTGCTGCTGCCGCTGAGTAGCCATGGCTCCTGCTGTAGCGGGCTGGGCTTCCCGGGCCACTGTGCTGAAACGACGAGGTTCGGCGGATAGCTTGGACGGGCCACTAAGATCGGGGCTCAGGGGAAACACACCAGAATAGGAACGGAGACCTGGAGTGGGCGGTGTGAGCACTCGATTAAACTTTCGCTCGTGCCAGCCACCCGCTGTCCAGGGTTCGTCTGATTCGCACCGAAATATGGAGGGGATTGGGAGTGGTGAGGGCGCTCGATTAGGCTCCTGCTGCCCGCGATGCATGGGATGTCTGGAAACAGTTGAAGCAGGATGAAACCCTTGCCTTCGCGTCTGCTTCTCTTGCTGCCTCCGCTGCCGCTTCTGCAGCTGCAGCTTTTGTGGCTGCGGCTGCGGCTGCCCTTGCAGCGGGCTGCTGCTGCTTCTGCCTCTTCGATGCCGTGATCGCCGCGTCAGCAGCGGGGCCCAGGTCAGCATCGCAGGCGGAAAACGCCTCACGCGCACCATGCTGCAGAACGACACACGCCGCACGTGGCCCCGCCCGGGAGAAGGGCCCGGGGAAAGCTGAGGGTAGTGATAGGGGATTCCCCGAGGGACGGGGTGGGGGGGGAGTCGCCGAGTGAGAGACCGCGGGAGTGATGTGCGGCAGAAGATGCAGAAATAGCTGCAGCAGCAGTGGTGTATGCAGTATCGTTGACACCAGCACTGGCCGTGCTAGATGCAGCACCACCAGCACCACCAGCAGCAGCAGCAGCTCTGGTGAGTGGTGAGCTGGCGGGGGACGGTGGCGACGTGGCATACGCAGGCGATGACATGGTGTCAAGCGACGGCATGCGCTTCAGCCCGCCACGTCGCAGGATGCCGCCAGCTGTCGCACTCCGGGCGGCAGCAGGAGGCGCAGAGGGGGACGCTTCCGCGACACATGGTGACTCAGCCGCAGCAGATGATGAGTCAGCTGCGACGGATGCTGAGTCAGTCGCTACACACGCGATTGCTGCCTGCAGATGCACGTTGACTGACAGCATCCGGTTCGGGCTGCTTCCAGCAAGATTCCGCCCTGCCCGGAGGCTGCGCGACGAGCTGTCCCATTGGCTGCTCACGCTGCGAAGAAGCTTTCCCTGCTGCCCGGATTTGCTGCCGCCAATTCCGCCGCCGCCGCCGCCGCTACCGGAGACGCCGTTAATCGTCGCCGCCACCGCGGCTCGATACTCGTGCGACGTCGCCCGAGGGACGGCGAACGAGAACGACGACGAGGGCGAATCGCAAGGGGAGGAAACGGGCGAGGCCTGCGGGGGGAGACGGAAGGGGAAGTCGGCGGAAGTGGGCGGGCGGAAGCGTAAGACGGCGAGGGCGGAGGCTGGGTACGCCGGGAGGAGGCAGGTGAAGGGGGAAGGCAGAGGCTGGGGGTCCGCGGAACGGCGGGGGAGGTGGGCGGAGTCGGGGAGCGGGGGCCGCCGCGGCTTCCTATAGCGAAGGAACCGGAAGCCCCTTTCCCGGGAGAAACGGTTTGCGCCGCCGCCGTCGCCGCCGCCGCATCTGACGGCGCTCGAGAGGGAGATCGAGACCCCATGGAGCTGGGCGTGGGCGTTCCCTCTCCGCCGGTTTCTGCAGCCGAGTAAACCGGTGATGACTGCCCCGCTGCCACCACCGCCGCCGCCGCCGCCTCCGCCGACATGGCCTCCGGCGATGCGGCGGCCGATGCGGCGTCTCCGGCGGCGGCACTGCCAGTAGCGACGATGGCGGTTCCGGAGGCGCTGACGTGGAAAGCGAAAGACGAGTCTGAACTGGACAGTGCCCCCGAGTCGCCTCCGACGAACGACGCCGACCGAGTCAAAGCGCGGCGCGTGGACTGGCCGACCCCGAGTCGCGGGCGACTCGGCTGGCTGTGACCTGACTCGGAGTTGTAGTTGTAGTGGTCCGCCGAGTCGGCGGCGCCGCGACGGTCGCTTGCACGATGGAAGCTCGCCCTGGGAAAAAGAATCACCTCCGCCGCGTGCCGAAGCACGGGCTGACGTTTGGGCCGAACCGAGTAGGTTCGGTGGCACGCGCCCCCACCGGCGGCGCCGCCAGCAGCCGCGGAGCCCCTCGCTGGAAACCGCGGGATTCTCTCGATATGGGAGGCTTCGGTAGCAGTAGTAGCGCTAACAACGGTGTGAATATCTTCGCTAGAAGTGTAGCAGGAAGTCCTGGTCCAGTCAGCCGACTCGGAGTCGTGGTCGTAGCTGTCGTTCGTTACACGTATGTTCCGTCGCTCGGTCGCTACAGTCGCTTTTCGCTCTCTCGCCGCTACAATCGCCGTCGCTTTTGTCTCATGCGTATAAGCCGCGTACGCGACGGGCCTTCCATCTGCGCCGCCAACGGCGGAGCCGCCGGATCTGGCGGCGGCGAGAGACGAGGGATCCATTGGGAGATCGCCTCGGAACGCCGACTTGTGCGCCGCAGAGGTTGATGCGGCGGAAGGTGCGGCGGAATCTGTCGGGTAATCGTGACGGCTGGTCGGAGATTTCGACTCTGCCACCTGAAGGACCGCAGCTGCCGCCATTCCCCCGCGGAAAACAGCTGCTAGCGTTGCTACTCGCAATAACAATAAGAAAACTGATCCGATGATGCGGCCCCTTCGCGACGCTTCCGTTCGAATCTGAAATTTGTAATACTATTCAAGGGGTACTGGTTCCAACCTCGGTGCAGTGCACTTCGACTGAATACGGGCCTAATATGGATGAGTTGTGCTGGTCGTTGCGTTTGTATCGTAAGCAGCGGTCTCGATAAACGCGTGGGATATTATGGTGCTCGGCTGCTTCAAAAGCTGGGAATAAATATGAGGCGTGCATGTATGTGTGTGGTCCTTCAATAGCAAGAGTGTTGGAGTCGAGTGAGTCGAGGGAGCCAAGAGGGGGTGAGGTGAAGGAAGTTGCCTGTTCTTGCAGACGGGGCATAAGGGGCAAATTTGTGATGTGGCTGGCGAGGCGATCGATGATGGCCGAATTTCAAACGTGTTTCGCGATTCGCGGCGCGACTCCGATCTTGCCAGACCGGCCACAGAACAGCTGTACAGCTGTACATACGTCGTGGTCGAGCCAGGCTGGCAAGTTTGAGTGAGGCTCAGGGGGGTCAAGGTAGGCATGGATCCATTCATGCCTCCCCGATGCCTGTTACAACAGATACAGCACAGTATTTCGGGGACCATCGTCCGCGTTACAGTGATCGACGCTCGTGTCGGGGATCTACACCCGTGATCTGAAAAAAGTCTGGCTGTACGATGAGACGTGGAGCACACGACAATTCCCAACCGCCATAATCACACGACGACAAAAGTCAACTATCTATGAAACATCAAGGGAAACACGAGGCTAGGTTTTTTTTACAGATTGCCCACGATCTACGTGGTCCACCCCAACAGTACCTCATTGAGGACGAGGTACATTCCGTTCGGTTTGACGATCGTTTCACGATTTTAGCATTGTACAAAGCAGGTTACCATCAAGTTATAGTGCCTTCGAGCTTAGCAAATACCAGATTGTCAAGCACAATAACTTCCAAAACAATCGCGTGAAATCGATTTTTCACGTCGAACACAGGACCGATTCAGCGCGACAAAGTACCAAGTTGCCCCCTCACAAAATCACGAAACTTACATCGCCTTACATTTTCGCCAAGCGAAAACCAGTGTCTGTGCCAAGACAATACCCCCCACCGCACGCGGTGCGGAATATGCGAGGGCATCTGCTGGTTGCCCTGTTTTGACGACAAAAACTCGGCGAGGCAGCAGTTGGCAAAGCTGCAAATCAAACTTCAAGAAGGGAGGCTGCAGATCGCGTACAGGATGGAATGTGTGAAATCGTTCTCAAGTGAGTGAATCGATTTGACAAAAAAACAACAAAATTGGGAAAAGGTTGCGATTTTGGCTCAATTTTGTAATTTAGCATAAGGATATGACACAATTTATGCACTTTACGTGTTGAAGCCTTTTCTGCTTATTTTCACTTAAAAAAGAAATGAAAAAGATCTCATTTGTCCCGTGATTCTCATAGAACATTGCGAAGTATATTCGGGCCACCCAGACGAGGCGCACATGCGAACTGCAGGCCTGACGTGAACAGAACGATGCCACAATCACGAGACCAACTGCCTAGAAATTCGGGTACAAATGACGGGAGCCACATAATTGTACAGTACATGTTGCAGACGAAATCTGAGGGAGATTTCTAGATTGAATACAAGTCTGATTAAACCCATTTATGGGGACTAAAAATAAGTATATGCATCACTTCCCACTCGATCCAGAAAGTAGCATGCATTTTTTACTGTTTCTATTTCCGCAGAGAGGGAACTTGTATTTGGGCACCACTCGCACGAAGAAAGAAACTCTCCCGCTCAGATTGTTGTGATTCACTTTGCGGATTTCGAAAACACTCAGGGAGTGTTTTGCGCGCAGTCCAAGCCTCATGGAACGAAATCAGTGCATTATTTATACGGACTGGATGAATAACAATTTCAAACTCAGTGATGTCGGCCGTATATTGGGTGGCCGCCTCGCGGCTTCCCCGAGCGCAAATACTCCCTAAGTGAAAAGTTCTGAAAGTTATCGAGACTGAATGTTACGATGCTTACTTTTCCATTTTGGATTGGAATATTAAAATAAGCAGAAAAGGTTTCGGCATGTAGAGTGGATAGAATGTGCCGTGTCTTTACGCTAAATTACAAAATTGAGCCACATTGATGACGCGCTCTGGTACGTTGTGAGTGAAATCGAAGTTGGCCCAAGCAGATTTAGAGTGCGCTTCCACTTCTCCAGCCAGATGACACACATTCCACATTGACAGCGAGACGCCCCATGTCCTGTACGTGATAAGACTGAATGGGAGTGCTTAAGAAGGGGGCGACGCCAACTTTGACGAAAGAAAGCCAATGGGAGTACTGTAAAGAAATTGGGCGAGATCCCTCAAACTGGCGGGTCTGAAGCAGGGCCTATTTTTTAAGGGTTGTTGCCCTGAATTCGAGTCAAATAAAGGGTAGTTTTTCAGCTGGCCCCACAAATTAAGGGTTGTATTTTTATGAACCCGGGGGATTAAGGGTTTATGCAGAGTGTAACCCTTGAGATTAACGGTATATTTGTTTCCTACCCTGAGTGTACTACTATTGCTGGTAGGGCTACAGGGGGGATCTCCTTAAAAGGAACAACTCCCTTAGAAGATTTTCGTTGTTCTCCCCTCACAGCACGTACTCACACCAACTGACTGAGGGGAGATAACTCCCTTAAAAGGTTTTCGACCTTCTCCCCTCACAGCACGTTACTCACACCT